ACGAAATGCGATGAAGAACACACGTCATGGATACGATGGTCGCCTTTGCCAGAAGATAGCGATCGCTCAAGTTCCCGAAGCTTTTCGCACGCCAGATCAAAGTCGCATGCCCCCTCTGTCTGGCGCTCAACCGCATCCCAAGCAGCGTCGTCGAGCTTGAACTCTCTAAGAAGCACGAACCCTTCCAAGCCCTCTGGCAGGGTCATGCGCTTCTAGTTCTCGGAGCAGCACGCCCTCACGCGCTATGTACTTGATCAAATATTCGCCCTGATTGCGCTCGGTGTCGTCTGAACAGAAAAGCCCATCAAAAGCCCTCGGCATCCCGCGGTCTGTCGCCGTCGCCAGGGGCGGGGCTCGGCGGCCGGCCGCGGCCCACAGGGCTGTCGGCGGCACTGTTGGCTGCGCCATCGTCCGAGGCGTCGGTCAGGACGTCGAACGAAGCGTCGGCGCGTGCGCGGGCGGGGCCCTGGGCCCCCGCGCCCTGCTCTTCCGCGACATCGCCGGCGTCGCGGAGGTCGTCGTCGCCCGAGCAACCTGAGCCAGGGCGCTGGGCAGAGTCGGCACGGGCCGGGTCTTCGACCGCCGTCGCGGCCAAGCGACGGCGGAGCGTCGGCCGCCGCCGGGGGACCCAGGGCCGCTAGGACTCGCAAGCTCGCCGCCAGGGCGGGTGGCGCACCCGGCGGCACGGGCGGAGCCGGGCCCCCGGGCTCGGGGGGCCCGCGCTAGCCTGCACCCGCCTCCACGGCCTGGCCCCCCGTTGCCGGAGCATCGCCTTCGCCCGACAGAGACGCACCCGCCTCCACCCACCAGGCGGCAGACAGCGGCGGCGTCTGCCTCTTCGGAAGCGGCAGCGGCCGCCGCGGTCTTCGCATCGGCGGCTGCCGCCGCCGCCCCAGCGTCGGAGCCCGCGGCCACCTCATCGCCCAGGTCAAAGGGGCCAGGAGTCGTGCCAGCGCGGGCGAGGTGAGCAGGCCGACACCGACTCACCGGGCGCGACCACGATGGCGTTGCTGGAGCCTCTCGCGCCGCGCACGATAGTGCTGCTGGAATCCGTCGCGCCACTCACGATCGCGCTGCCAGGGTCCATCATGCAGCTCGCGATGCTGCCGCTGGAGCCCGCCACGCCGTTAACGGCCGCGCTGTTGGAGCCCGTTGAGCTGCTCAGGCGCTGCTGGCGCCCATCATGCTACTCACGCTGGCGATGCTGGAGCTCTCTCTGCTGATTGCGTTCCTGCTGCTGGAATCCGCTGTGCTGCTCACAGCGATGCTGCTGGGGTCTGCCATGCTGCTCCTGGCCGCGTTGTTGAAATCCGTCGCGCAGCTCACGGACGCACAGTTGGCGCCCTTCGAGTTGCTCACGATGGCGCCGCTGGAGCCCGCACAGCTGCCCACGATAGCGCTGATGGAGTCCGCAGGGCTGCTCATGCTGATGCTGCTGAAGCCCGCCATGCTGCTGCCGGTCGCGCTGCTGGTTTCTGAAATACTGCTCACGACGGGGCTGCTGGAGTCTGTCGCGCTGCTCACGGTCGCGCCGCTGGGGTCCGCAGAGCTGGTCATACTGATGCTGCGCTAGCCCGCCATGCTGCTGCCGGTCGCGCTGCCGGCTTCCGCAATGCCGCTCACGACGGCGCTGCTGAAGTCCGTCACACTGCCCAGGGACGTGCCGTTGGAGTCCATCGAGAGGTCGCTGCTCGCGATGTTACTGCTGGAGTGCGTCGCGATGATCGCAACGTTGCTACTGGAGTCCGCTATGCTGCCCGCGATCGCGCTGCGGGAGTCCGTCGCGCTGATCGAGACGCAGCAGGTGGAGTCCGTCACGCTGCGCACGGTCGCACGGCTCGAGTCCGTTGCGCAGCACACGATGGCGCTGCTGGCGCCCGCCACGCTGCTAGCAATGCCGTTGCTGGAGCCTGCCCTGCTGTTCAAAGACGTGCTGCTGGAGGCTCTGTCCCGCAGCTCCCGACGCCGCTGGCGAAGTCCGCCCTGCTGCACACTGTCGCGCAGCTGGAGTCTGTCGCGCTGCTCGCGGGCTCGCTGGCGGAGCCAGCGCACTGGTCACAATGGCGCTGCCGGAGTTTGTCGCCATGCTCACGATCGCGCTGCTGGAGTCTGCCGCGCAGCTCGCAAGTGCGCTGCTGGAGTTAGCCATGCCGCTTAACGTCGTGCTGCTGGGGTCCGTCGTGCTGCTCGCGGAGCTGCCGCTGGAATCTACCGCGCCGTTCGCGATCGGGCTGCCCGGGCCCGTCAAGCTGCTCGCGACGTTGCTGCTGCTGGGGCCGGTCGCGCTGGTCACGACGGTTATGCTGGAGTCTTTCCTGCTGCTCACGGTCGCACTGATGGAGTCCGTCGCGCAGCTCTGGGTGCCACTGCTGAAGTCCGCCGTGCTGCTCGCGATCTCGCACGCGCTGCCGGGGCCCGTCGCGCCGCTCACGCTGGCGCTGCCGGTGTCCGTCGCGAGTTTGCATGGCTGCTCACTGTCGTCCTGCCAGAGTCCGTCATGCGCCGCGCGATCGAGCTGCTGGGGACCGTCGTGCTGTTCACGACGCAGCGGCTGGAGTCCGCCAAGCTGCTCGCGGTCTGCTCGCGGTCACGCAACTGGAGTCCGTCGCCCATCTCGTCATGGCGCCGCTGGCGCCTGTCCTGCTGCTCACGGCTGTGCTGCTGGAGTCATTTGCGCCGCTCACAATGGTGATACTGGCGCCCGTCATGCTGCTCACGACGGTGCTACGGGAGTCCAATCTGCTGCACACGGTCACGCTGCTGGAGTCCGTCGCGCAGCTCCGAGCGCCACACCTGGAGTCCGTCATGCCCCTCGCGATCTCGCTGCTGCAACTCGTCGCGATGCGCCCCGACGCGCTGCCAGGGTCCGTCGCGCCGCCTACGATGCTGCTGCCGGTGTCCGAAATTAGCGCCGCTCACGAACGCGATGCTGGACCCCGCATCGCTGCTCACGGTCGCGCTGCTGGAGTCCGTCATCTTGCGCGCGATCGAGCTGCTGGAGTCCGCGCGCCGCCCCGCCCAGCTGCTCACGGCTGCGCTACCGGAGCCCGTCGCGCTGCTAGCCGTCGCGCACATGGAGCCCATCGCGCCGCAAACGATGACGCCCCTGAAAGCCGCCATGCTGCTCGCGAACACGTTACTGGAGTCCGTCGCGCTGCCGCCGCCCCCACCGGCTTCGCACCATCGGTGCTCTCGGCCTAACCCCCCGCGGCCCCTGCCCGCTCGGCGGGCTCGCCTCCCCTCAGCCTTCTGGCCTGCTCTGGCGTTTAGGGGCCTGGGCTGGTCTTGTCGCCTGCGCCCCCAGCCCTGCCCCTCCGCCTCGCATGGCTCTCTGGCCCCGCACCCGTCCTCCAGGCGCGGCCGCACTGCCACCGACCACGTCCTGCCAGTGCACCAGCCCGCGGCCCGGGCGATGCCACCTGGCCGACCAGCGTCTCCCTGCGCCTCGTGCGCTACTGTTTCCACCCCTACCTTGCCACGCCGGCACCCCGACCACCGCCAGGTCGCCCCCTCCTCGCCTTTTCTCCCAGCCCGCTCGGGGCCCGGCGTTCGACATCTGCGCACCAGTTCGGTGCCCCTCCCCCGCGCCCCTCACTCAGCAACGGGACCGCCTGTCGGCCCTCTGGCCGCGCCCCCGCCTTGCCCTGGGCCGGCCCGGCTGCTCGCGTGGGTCACACGTTACCTCGGCACCCGCTGGCCCCTGGCTATGCGTTCACACCTTCGCCACCAGCCTTTGCTGGGCTCTGCCCCCCCCGCACGGCCTGCTGCTTGGCAGCCTGCATTGCCGGTTTCCCCCCCCCAGCCGCCGCCCTGCTGTTGCTGGCCCACTCCCAGGCGCAGCCCTGCCGCGCGCCTGGCACTGCTCTGAGCGGGCCCAGTTTCCGTTTCCCTCCCGCCACCGCCGGGTGCCTCCTCTTTCCCCCTCGCGCACCGCGACTTAATTCGCGATCGTACGCCCTACCAACGCCTATCCGCCAGCGCAGTACCTCTGCCTAGCCGCCGACGTAAAAAAAAATGTGTTGTGTGTTGTGTGTTTTGTGGTGTGTGTGTGTGTTTTGTGTTGTGTTGTGTGTTGTGTATTGTACGTTGTGCGGCGTGTGTGTTGTGCGTTGTGTGGTGTGTGTTGTGCTATGTATGTTGTGCGGTGTGTGATGTTTTGCGTGCGTGCGTGCGTGCGTGTGTGTGCTGTTGCGTGATGAGAAGCGCGTGCTGGGATTGCATGTTGCGTGTTGCGGGCTATGTGCCGTGTTTGGTGTGAAGTGGCACGGCCGAGGCTACTGACGTGCAGTCTACCTTCTGCTGACTGTCGTGGCGTGGACGGGTACTCCTGCCCTGGGGGCACCAGACCGACAAGCCCAACAGCAGCAGCGACGTGCTCGGGAAGCGCTCGGCGAGACGCAGCCGCTGCAGTATGCTCCAGACCCGGCCTCTCCTCCAGCCGTCTCTGCTGCACGCTGTAGCTCGCTGGCCGCCGAACAGCGGTCACGTGATGGCACGACCCTGGCGGCGCGCAGAGGGGGCGGTGGGGGGAGGGGAGGCTCCTTAGAACGAGGCTGGTTCTAAGAAGGCGCTGGCCACACCTCCACAGGCAAGGACCGTGCCTTCGAAGAAGCCGGGGTGTTTCCAAGAGGCCCTGCCCCGTCCCTGCACCTGCACGGTTCCCCCAGGGTCGTAGGCGACCCGAGGAGGAGGAGGAAGGGGAGGAGAAGGAGGAGGAGGAGGAGGAGGAGGCGGAGGAGGGGGAGGCGGAGGAGGAGGAGGGGGAGGAGGAGGAGGAGGAGGAGGAGGAGGAGGAGGAGGAGAGGAGGAGGAAGGAGGTGGAGAGAGGAGGAGGAGGAGGAGGAGAGAGGAGGAGGAGGACGGGCCACCTAAGCCCTTCGGAGAAACCCTCCCCTGCACCCTCTCTGCACGTGGCCGACGACCGCTGGAACGTGTCCGGTGCACCGCCCGCGCTGCGCACACGCAAGGGGGCGGGGCCCGCCCCGCGCGGGGCAGCTCTCCTCTGGGGAGCAGCCGAGGCCTCCAGAAGCAGCACGCCTGGCCGGGAAGAGGCCCGCTGCCCGGCCGGGTGGCGAAAACTGTTGGCGGTGCGCACAGGGGGGTGGAGGGACGACGACGACGACGACGACGACGACGACGACGACGACGACGACCACGACGACGACGACGACGACGACGACGACGACGACAACGACGAGCGACGACGACGACGACGACGACGACGACGACGACGACGACGACGACGACGACGACGGCATTCGAGGTTCGAAGCTCGAGGGCCGAGGTTGTCTTTGGCGGCGCGCACAAGCGGGTGGGAGGAGGGGCGAGGGCTTCTTAGGAGGCTGCTTCTTAGAAGGCGCCGGCCTTACATCTATAGATAAGGCCCGCGCCTCGTAAGAAGCAGGGGTGTTTCTGAGAAGCCCTCCCCCCTCCCCCCACCCCCCTCTGCGCGTCGCTGAAACTGCACACATGGCAGGTTCGTGCCGTGCCGACTTCGGAGTCGGTTTCCGACACCTCGGGGATCGTTCAGCCGCGAACGAGCGGCCGTTTCCGAGACGTCAGAGATCGTTCGACATCGATCGATTCTGGGTGGCCTGAGGCGTTCAACGCTGAGCGCCGGCAACGGTGTCGCCGCCGGTCGACACGACGCGAACCTACCGTACCCAGCCAGGTGGCGAAAAGTGCACATACACCCGCTGCACAGGACCAGACAGCATCGAGTCGGGAAATCGGCTCGGATCGGCATGTGCGTGCGTCGGATGAGGCTGCATCGGCACGGAGTCGAAGTCCAGTCGGACCGGCTGCGCCGTGATGCACGGCAGCACCATGCGAGCATAGGACCGCATCGGACCGTCAAAAGATCGGACTAGTTTGGCTCAAAATTCAAGAGAAGAACCCCGCTGGTCCCGGAGACCTCCCCGACAGCACTGTGAGGCGTCGGCTACCCCTGCGGAGTGCGTCTGTGTTTCGCTGCATCCTCGGGCGGCCTTGTCTGTCCCATCGTGGCGCCGTTCGCATCGAACCCGAATCGAATACATGACGAATACACGTCGAATCCGCGAATCCAGGTCGCATCTGCGTCGAATCCACGCCGAACCCTGAGACGTAGTGGAAAAAAGCAACCTGGCGAAAAATCAATGCCAGAGCCCTGGAACCCCATCTGCCTGCGTCATGTTTCGAGCTGGATCGATCCACAAGGCTACAGGGGCCCGAAAGCAGGGCGAAAACGGTCGGCTCGAGAAAAGTGAGACGCCAGGATCTCAGGGGAACCCTCGCTGTACCCACGCCGATCCTGAGGTGGATGCCCTCGTGATGGGCCCCAGTGAGGTAGGCACGCGTGGGCGAGCACGCGCCTGCAGGCCCAGCGGGCCGAGCGGGCGAGGGACCCCCCGGGCGGCTTCTGGGGGGCCACAACTCCGGCCCCCGGCGGCCGCTCTGTACGAGGACTCTCGGCGAGGCGCAGCCGCTGGAAGGCCTCACCTCAGCTCC